GATCACTGAGATGTGCCGGCTGGGTGGGAGTGATTGGCACAGCTGAGTAGTCTCAGCAGTGATTCAAGGTTTTATGTCGAACTGTTAGGAGAGGCAGGGCTGCTTGTTGTTAAAATATCCTGGAGTTCAGAAGGTCTGTTCATAGACTGGTGCTCCTGCAGCTCTTCTTTCTGACCGCACTGAGTCACTGGCCTTTGGTGTGCTCCCACTTCTCATCTGTTTAGTAGGACACATGCAAGCATAGCTGCTGATTTTACAGTTATAAGTAATGTAAAAGAGCTCTATCTCCTGCGTGAAGGAGACTATGTAAATTGCATTGTTGTTAAAATTGCTTTTGGTTAAGTCATGTGCTTCTGGGCTCTTCCACAATGGTCATAAGCTGCGAGTAATTCATACTTGGCAGTAAAACTATTAATCATGCTGTCTGGTCCTTCTGTAGGTGCTTTTCCATATCTCCCATGACCTGACCCTTGCAGCCCTGAGCTATCAGACTGCTACCTGGGATGAAGCAGTGAAAAGTATTCTTGGAGCTGTGACCCGCAGTTATGATGCTGGTAGCTTCACTCTGATGCAAGAGATTTGCAGTATCATCCTTCCTGAAGGTAAGTCTCTTTTTGTGTATCTCCTGGCACTGACAGATAGGGGGATCTTCCTTGTAAGCACAGCTGTGTGTCCATTAATATTACTAGGCATAATAATGTTTGGAAGGAGCAAGACATACCCATATATATGGAAACCTGTGGAATTTGGCTAGTGCAAGGGCTGTTGGGTGATCAAAATTCCTGATAGTGGAAGGAAGCTCAGCAGTGTCAGCTGGTGTGGGTGATGTAGGAAACTGAGCAAATTTTGTTCTGTAAGGGAGATGGGAACATTGGAAAGCTGTGTTCATCTCATAATTACAAATCACTCCAACTGGCCCTTCCCTTCATCCTCTGCAGAGTATGCAGTGCATTTATTTTGCGGCTCTCGATCATGTGCATATGCACATATCTTGATGTGCAGCTTGGGACCAAGAAAGTTTGCTGTAGATGAGGAGAACATGCAGTCTCATGCTAGCTAGAACAGAGTATTGTGTTTAAATAGATGCCAAAGATGTCTGCCTTTGCTTTTCTGCTTCCTGTACCACTCTGCCAGCATCTGAGTAAATCTCTGGTCTCCAGGATAGCCGTTCATTTACCAGATCTGGTCTTTTTCTTTGGAAATCTCTATGAACTAATTGTAATCCTTTTTTCATCATTAGGCTGTGATAACCTGAGACACAAACTGGACAGCACAAATTCTCAGAGCATGAACGCTTGCAGAAGTTTAGAGGGCTTTATGGCTTATGGACTGCTGTATGACCTCTGGTGGAATGCACCCAAAGACTCCCTTGTCTTGCCAAAGGCTGTTTTGGATCCTGTGCTGTGTCCTAGTGAGCAGACAGCTCTTGAGAAGAGTTACATTTCAGGTCAATCCTCCTCTGAAGAAACTCCTGATCAAGCTGCAGTTGAGATGGATGAAATCCTCTGCAATACAACTGAAGTTCGTAGGTGCGAGACAGAAAGTGACTCAAGAACTAGCTCAGTCGATTTAGTAGACAGTCAGTCAAAACTGAATGGCTGCGAAGTGCTTCTCTCAGAAGAGATTGCTGCTTTACAGAACACCCAGAGAGATATAGCTGAGGTCCAGCAGATTTTAGCAGATATGATCCACCAGCATCAGCAGCAGAGGAACAATCTCCAGGAAAACACAAATGGAAGCACCCAGGAAAGCAACCTGCAGCAGAATTCAGAGACTGAATCAGATAAACCATGCTCTGACAGCAACCAGATGAATTGGTAAGCTTCAGAACATGAATGAATGGATTGAAGAGCATTGCTTTTTTTGTGTGTTTGTGCAGCAAACTTCTTGCTTAGCTCAGATTGCCTTTAATCTCAAGCTTGTCACCCAGGGACACGTCAACATACAGCTCAAAAGTCTTGCATTTCCCTGGGGCTGAACTACCATGTGTATAAACTTACTACAGCTGATTAACTTCCTGGTACAAAGGGTGCGTTGGTACAGTGAATAAGCAGGGCAGCTTGAAAAGGGAAGGATAATGAAAAGGACAAGCATGATGCAAGAGGTCTGTCTCTTTGTTGAACAATTACTTGGGACTTTGGCAAGAACGAGCTAGAGTGTATAACACTTGTCCAACTCTCCTGTTGGGGCTATGCAGTCATTTAAGCAAAACAGTTACTCATGACACCTGCTCTTTTCTTGACAGTAAAGATGAAGTAAAGGAACCAATTACGCTCCCTGAGCTAACGAAGCAGCTTCTAAAAGCAAAGCAGAAACTAGCAGAATTTCCAGACAATTTAAAGGTAAGTAAGTTTTCAGAAGAGGCATTGTGGTTCTGAAAAAAGACCCTTTTTGTAAGGGCAGCCTCATCATAGAATCCCTTTCATAGAGAAAGTAAGGAACAGTGACTTTCTTTGTGATCCTATGGCAATTTTGAGAGAGAATTGACACATGGCATCAGGGTGGTATTTTTCTTTCAAGCATAACTTTCTCCGTGCAGTTGGAAAGCGTAGGTAAAGCTCCTGCATGGGAGAACTCAATGGGATATTCTATATGAATTTCTCCCATGCATTTTAAAAGTAATCCCTTGCTACTTAGAATTATGTATGCAAAAACATTTTTGATAAACAGTGAAATCAGAAATTTAAGGTATAAAATGGCCTTTATAGATTAGGAACCGTAGAAACTACACATCACGTGTTTGAAAACAGCGTTTCCTAGGCTGTCTCATCCCCTCTGTTCTCTAGTCTATAATATAATTAAAGGTAATCATGGTGGTTGTGTAAGAGGGGGCAAACCTGGTTAAACGTGAGCTAATGTGCTGGAAGAAGAGAAAAAAATGCATCTGACTCATGACTGTCTGTTCCAAAGATACTACAAAGCAGTGTCTTTAGAGAGCTGGCTGCCTGAGTATGTTGTAGTTGAACAATTATAACTGAAAGAGTAGACATCATGTTCCCTTTTTGCAGGTTTTCCCGTTCCCCGACGTGCTGGAGTGCTGCCTTGTACTCCTTCACATTGGATCCCAGTGCCCTCCTGAACTACACGAACAGGCATTGGATCTCCTTAGGAAACACGGTAGCACTAATACTTACAAAAAGGCTGGCAGGAGGTTCTTGACATGACACTTTGAGACCAAACTGTCTCCCTTGAGCTGCCTACAGCTACTTAACACCAAGGCTGTTCTTTCTTCAAGTGAAGGCTTGTTTTGATGGCTGTGGTTATTTTGGCTAAAACTACAAAAGATCAGGTTTATATACAGACTCACTTGTGGTCATCAACTACTACTACTTAAGGAGATGAGAAATGAGAAAAGCAGTAAGTTGTGGGCTTGAACTGTATACAGGATTTTTGTATAGTCTTTTTTTATTTGTTGGAAGTTATGCTAATGAAAGCTCTTGCTATTTACATGTAAGAGAAAGAGTTTTGAGCAGCTATATCAGTCTTTCAGCAGAGGAATAGTAGCTGCCCCCAGGAAAAACAATGGTTTCTGTAAGCAAACTGACCCTTAAGCCAGTATTGTTCTTAAAAGCATTGTGAGTTTATTTTCCCTCCTTTAAATAAAGTCTTCTACCACCATGAATTGGCATTTAATTTGATGGATAGAAAACAGTATCAATCAAGGGCAAATGCATTAAAAATAAGCCTTTTTTTTTTCTTTTTTTTGTTAAATGTACTATATAAATCAAAATCTGTAGATAAAATGAGTGTGTGCTATGACAGCTTTGTGTGGTGAAGCCGTCAGTACAACATAAAAGGGCGGGCAAGATCTTTTATGTTTGTTTCCAGCATGACTGGCAAGAGATAAGGGATTTCTCTAGGTCAAGAGAAGTCCCTGCTTTTTGGCAACACCTGTGACTGAACAAACTGCTTTTTGCTACAGTGATGGTAAATCTGAGAAAAGCTGCTATTCTAGAAGTGCCAAAAACAATCCTAGATTCTGGAGTCTTGAACATGCAACATCTTGACCAGTCTTACAGCTTACCTAAAGGCTTTGACTGTCTTGTTAGAAAAACTAACTCTTCCTAAGAAGCCTTAGTGAACATAGCATCCATCTAAGTAATTTTAAATGCAGCAGAAAAGTTCATGGTAGGATGGGGGGGGTCGTGAATTTAGAAAGTTTGTAAGTACAATAAAGATTATTGTTTAAGAAAAGAAGTAGGAGGGATGGATTTTTTAGACCAAGAGCTGTTCCAGATTCTTCCAGCCAAAATGCCAATAGTGATAGATTTCCTGCTCCAAGCTGAGTAAAGGCTCAGAACAACTTGAAGAGCAGTAGGTGAAAGCCAGGGATTATACTAAAAGAAGATCCTTCTGTAGATGTGTTAATCTGGTAAACTGTTGCCACTAATTTGAACTTCCTAAATTCTGGACAAAGTACTTGAAAACCAGGAAGGGGAGCTAGTGCGTAACCAAACAGCCCTCCTACACTTCAAGCAAGAACCACTAGAGTTTAAATGGAGCAGGAAAACTTCACACAGGACAGATGAGCAAAATGGATTTGTCACTTTAAGTGGCTATGCTGCACTGATAGAATACTTCACAATACTGCTAGCTGTGCTGAGAGACAAGCAGAAAGAGAATACAAGTCCCACAAAGAGATCTTAAGTTCAATTTTCATCAGCTACTGTACAATAAGCTCAAAAGCAGATTTTACTAAGAACTACCCCAGTAGCACATCATAAATGGTAAAAGAAGAAAGAAACTTGAGCATCTTCGAACATGTATCGCTCAAATTCAGATTCCAAAGCCTGAACTTTGGGCATTTTAGTGCTTGATGGAAAATCCAAAACAAGGCCTGGTTTAAAAAAATTTATTTTACAAAAATTAAAAACAAGTAATATTTACAAGCATTTTAAATACCAGCTCTAACCCTCAACTTCTAATAATGGATTGTTTAAGTTTGTTTAAAATGCAAGATAAAGTCTTTAAAAATTTTAAGGTTTTTGTTTTTGTTTTTTTTAAGAAATGTCATTACAGAGCTGTTGAAAAAAACCATGCTATAGAATAGCTCATTTTTTAAAAAGTCAGAATCCCAAGTTGTTCCTCTAACTACTTTTCAGGTGTTTGGAATGAAAAGAAATAGACCTGTTTTGTCTGTTGTTAAGCATATAGTAAAATTAGGGGCTGGAGAAGCAGGGGGGAGAAGAGGAACAAATATTTATCCATCTGCTGAACTACTTGTGTTGCAAGGAGAAGAATAAAATTTGTAGGTTAAACTGAAGAAAACTGAAGTCAGAGTATTGGTCCAACCCCCTGTCAAAGGTGAACTTTTAGGCGTCTTAATCTATTTCCAGAACAGTTTATTAATACCCACAAGAACTAAGCTGAGGCTCAGTATGGGTCAAACCTGTACCATACAGAATTAGAAACTATGGAGAGCTGATCAAATCAGCTCCAGTAATATCCATTCCCATCGTTGTTAAAGCAAATCTCTGAATATTTTTAGCTGCAAGGATCATTTTTAATGTCATCCGTTCCCAAACCTCTGCAGTGATCAAAGGGAGCAATTTCCACAGACTACACAATGATAAAATAAGCAAAACATGAGGTGAAGCAGTCACCCTCACAACATGCAGAAGTTTTAAAATAAGCTTTATAAAGCACAATTTGCAAATTTGTGTGCATGTCTGTGTCCATTTTCACTGGATTTCCAGACCCTTAGCTCTACTGAATATGCTACTGTTAAGTCTTCCTTGCAGATTCTGTACAGTATAAAGAGGAAAAAAACAGAGGTATACACAGTAGGTTCTGTCTTTTGCCCTTGGTATTAAAAAGACGGCAAACCACAAATGCTGGCATTAGGAATTCAGTCAATTCTCTTCTTCTGGGTTTCAAATGAAGATGCAGCTCTTCAGCAAAACTGTAGGCCTTCTGCAGGCTGTGTACTGTAGATGCCTTTTGTTTGAGACACTATTAGGGAAAATGGTTGAAGACAGCAGCTGCCAATATGGTAACCATGTTCTGCTGAGGGGTACCGCTTATCACGGCTGCATGTTGTTGATAATAGCCAAAATGCTCATTTTCTCTTGGGCCGAGTCCACATCTTCATTTTGTTTCTGAGCCACTCCTGTGCCAAGGCCATACAGCCGCCCACAATACTTTGCATCATCAATTGTATCCTCAAAAAACAACTGCAGATTAAAAAAAACAAAGGGAAGAAACAGGTATTGTCTATTTGCGCCTCTAAATCAGAAAGCACCTAATGTTAATTAAACAGCTCATTTGAAGTCGGCCACCTCTAAAATGCAGCGTGGGATTTAAAATAAGCACATGAAAGAGGAGTAAACAGAAGCCTGTGCCAATATCAACAATTCCTATTACTGACAATTTGAAGTGTGATGGCCACAAGGCTCAAAAAAAAAAAAAAACCCCACACCAAAAAACACATTGTGCATGTTGACATTTATGGCTAGGAACTGGAGAAAGAAGAACCATAAAGAAGAATACCGCAGTACCTCTTTCATTCTGAAGAATGCCATTCCCGTGAGAAGAGAGTCCGATCCTGCCTGGTGTTGTCGTCCAATTCGCTGCAAATCCAGCTGATCTGCCACTTCTTGAAGGCCACCCTGCAATGAGAACAGAACATATTTTATTTTGGACGATCCATCTCTTACCAAAATTGCCACGCTTCTCCAAAACATGAGGGGAAACTGGCTACGATGAATTGATGCAGATTCCAGCAGTACGCACGCACCAGCTGTGAGTGAAACACAGTGGTAAATACTGTTCAAGAATGCATAAATACTCTTCTCAGATTTAGGTACCTTGCTTTCCTGCTGCGGATACTTGAGATGACCGTGGGCACATTCAGAGGTTACCAGTGCTGGACCTTTCCTCAAACAAGGCTGTGATTCAGTAGATAAATTACTTTCAACCCTCTGAGCGTTTACCAGTTAATCAAGTCATGTAACAGTTCATATAAGAAGAAATACTCCACCTTGTATAGGGAAGAGAAGTATGCTGAATTCTAATTGGCCTCTGAAATTACTGATATGCAAACCGGAAGGTTATGGGAATGTCCCCTATATAATATACATATTGATAAGTCTAAAACTGGGGAGGCAGTATCTGTTAGATACAAACTTATTCATAGGTGCTTATGTGTGACCATGAGCTGTTACACACATTCCAGTTTTAAGACTTGATATATGCAGCAGATGTCATTTGGCTTACTGTACATTTACAGTGTTGATGCCCATCCATCAGTTGCTTGCTGGGGAGATACAAGTACCTTGAGGTTTTTGCAGCTCTTCATTAAGTACTTTACATCATAGATAGATGGGAAGAAAAGGTTCAAGATATGGAAAAATTCATGTTCCTCTTCTGGTAACCTGGAATCTGTCAACAGCTTCACCATGTAGCCAAAGTCATAACCACTGAAAACAAAAACGTACAGAAGCCAGATAAGCAGGCAACACCTATACTCGGTCGGTACCAGTATCTCATTTTTCGCAAGACTTTTATGTGCTGTAGCTTTCAAACCTTAACATTTTCTGACATTCCTCTGGATCAGAGCCAGAATTCATCCGTATCATCTATGTCAAATGTTATACTTTTGAATGCTCCCTGGGTGCCTCCGCTAGCCTCTCGCAGAACAGCTAAGCCATTGGGAAGAACATACTTCCCAACACTGCAAATTTCTGTAGCTATGGGCAATACAGAAAAGCAGGAAACCCTGTAAGTATCTGTTGCCACCACCTCCTCCTCCCTCAAGTCCTTTCACTTGATGTTATCAAGGACCAGAGGCTTTGTAATCAAGTTGCTTGAGATGCTACGAGAAAGAGATCTTAACTACACAGATTTCTTCCTCTATGTAAACACAAGATGGAAGTTGAGAACACCACCAACATTGTAAGGAAGAAGAAACAAAAACCTTACTTTACAATGCACACAAGTTAGTTAGTGCAGAAATCACATTTCAACTTGTTAATAACTTCTTCCATACAGCAAGACTGTAACAGCGAAAGGATTTGCAAGAAAGGCATACACAAAACTCAGACCACAGTAAGCGCTAGTACAAAATGAAGTGCCAAGTGTTCTTACTTCTTAAACTTGGCCTTTGTATCTTTCAGCTTCTTTTAAGAACTGCAGAGCTGCTAATTCTTCTCCTTAAAATCTGTGTCAGTCTCCATGGACAAAAGCAGCAGTATTTCAATCAAAAAGAGATTTCTCACTTCACAGTGTCAGTGACCACCTCAGACCTACCTGTGGAAGGACAGCCATTTCACACTGTCACTAAGGACGACCCCAGATGTCATAAGCAACTCGGCAAAATGCAGGGTATCGATTCCTTCTTCTTCATGCTTCTGGAACTGCAGCCCAGAGCTGGCAAGGAGGTCTATGGAATCCTGAGAGTACATGTCCTCGCTGAAGGAGAAAAGCAGCTTTGCACTCAAGGTACTAACAAGTCAGGCTCATTTTAGGAAAATTCCCCCCACACTGTATTTCAAAAACTGGAGTGATCGGTATCTGGGTATCAAGTATCAAGAATCTCTGGGTTCCACATCTGTCTCTCTAGAAAATTCAAATTGAATCAGTTTTAATACCACTACTGCAGCCTCCTACATCTGTAACAAGCTATTCTGCAATTGTGACTAGTTAATAATTCTGTTGCTAATGCAAATTCCAAAGAATCCACCTCCATAGAACTGTATGACGTTTTGAAAAACGTCACTGCTGCAAGGCAAATGGAAGCACCACAGATGACAGCACGCAGAAAAGGGGAGTTCTCCCAAATAGGAAGACGTGCAACTCTAAAGCACTGAGCATCATTCCTGTCTACGTTTTTCTTTTTCACTTCACAGCACATACCACCATATCATCATCTCCAGTTCCATCTCTGGGAGTAAACAAAATTGCGTAATACTTGACTAAGGAAGGAGGACAGGGATGAGTGATGATATGCTTCGTGGAGAGCTGAGCAGGAACCTGACTTCTGTACTGGTTTGTTTCATTTGAGGGTGGGGGGGAGGGAAGGACATGACAACACACAGAGCAAAGTTCATGCCAAACATGGTAATTGAGTCAAATGAAGTGATCACACTGTGAAAACCACTTCACTCCTGATTTCAATACTTTTAAGAGGCTCATAAAGTTGTGGAAGTAAATATTGCAGCTTTTGGGTTCAAGAACTGTATGATCTGCACATACTAGCTATGAGTTTTTGTAATGTTTTCCAGTGACATTTCCATAAAAATACTGATTGATTTCCTATAAATGTGTGGTTTTGCCAGATAAACCCTCTCTCTATTTCCAGGCAGCTCTAGCAGTAATTATGCTGAGTCTGTCTTTACAATTACGGGGGAAGGGATAATGAAACTTGTTTCAACTGTAACCAGGATATTGCAGTGTGGAGGAGACAAGAACAACTGCCACACTCCATTTAACAAGATTCATTCTCCTGAAGAGGTGTGACGATTACACCATATTTTTTGAGATGCCAGTTTACATTTTAGCATGAATCTGTAAAGAGGTATTTTCCTTTTTGCTGAAAACAGCCCATCCATTTATTTTTGGCAGAAAGAGATGGATTTTTATATATATATAAAAAACGTATAAAGTTTAAGACTCTAACATTGTTGCAGCAAAAAAGTTTAAGGCACATAAAATTATTGGGGATAGGCTATTTATCATGGGAAAGAGTATTAAGGATAGGATTTTAGTATGGGTTGACTTCCAGAAATATGGCAAACTCCTGTCATGCCAAAATAGGTTCCCACATAATCTGTGTTAGAATCTGAATTTTTATTGCTCAGAACCAGCCACTGACGATGAACAGACAGACACCTGCATTTGCCAAAGGAAAGCATCGCTTCAGCAGAAGAGAATAGGTGATTATTCCCTAGCTCAAGAGACTCACGTAAGGTTGAATTTAAAGTTAAACTGCCAGGTGTTGATGCCGGAAGGATATTCTCCTTTCTCATTTGTGAAAGTCAGACCCAGCTGGATAATTTTCAGAAGGTCAACGTTACACCGAAGGAGCTGGTATTGATAGTCTATGGAACTGCGGAATTCACCAATCGGCCTTACAACAACTCCAGGAAACTCTGTGTCCTAGGAGAGAAGGGAACATCTTATTTCACCACTTACTCTACTAGGAGTCATTATTATTACTCTACTAGGAGTCTATTCAGTTCCACGCTTGCAGGTCTCAGCACTGCATTCTGTGAATTCTTCTGTAAAAATCACTTATTTTTTCTCCTTTTCCATATTCATACAGATTTTAAACTGCTACAAGTCAGACACTAAAAAAAACTCCACACAATTTGTTAACTATTGCATTCACTCATTTATTACAGGTATCCTTTCTTGCAGTTTTCTTTTATTCCAAAACAAAAATGTTATAAAGTCATCCAATATGCACTACTGTATAATCTAAACATCTCTCTCTCGCAAAGGACTCTCTCATTTTCCCTAAATCTACTAAAATGGACTTTTTGTTTTTATTTATTCAGTGTTCTTTCATGTTCTAAATACAAGTCAAATTTTGCATTCTGACCATCTTCATTCGATAGTCCAGACAGAGATAACCTTCACTGTTTTAGAGGAACAGCCAATGCCTACATTAACGAAAACTCCTGCCAATCGAAACGGACCTTAACAGCAGAGCAACCATCAATTAGATGAAAAACATTTTACTTGGCCAGTGATTGTGTGCTCTCTTTGCTGAAACCCAAACTTCTAGACTATGTTTACTCTCAGATCAGGTCACATAACTTCTGCTGACTAGAGCGTATGCAAAAACTTTCATGAAGAATCCAGTGCTGTGTATCTGACAAAATTTCTCCCAGGATCTTTTTGTGTCCGCTCTCACAGCACAGCCACTAAAGCAGGTCATAAGCACACTTTCAATGAGATCAAACAGAAGCAAGAAAGCTCATTTCCCATTGACAAATGATAACAAAAAAAAATCATATTTACTTACACAACTGTATGATAACAAAAAAAAAAAAATCATATTTACTTACACAACTGCGTTCTACACTGAAATACTACGCACTCTGCAGGGGCGTGTGTTTTTATGCCATGCTTTTATTAAGGACTTTTTGTATCTTGAAGTTTAGCGTTCCCAAGCAAAGTTGGCATAATTTACAGTATCATAACTAAAACCAGTTATTTATGTAACTAACTGGCTCCTGCCAAGCAGATACAGACTTTTAAGAGCAGGAAGAGGTTCCTCCCACCTGGGGAAGATTCTCGTCTTCTTAAACAAAGCTTTCTGAACACATTGTCATACCTACAGCCAGAATATTTTTCTTCCCTAAGAATCAACATCTGACCTCATTAGAAAGGAGGCAGCCCAGCTGACTAGTTGTCACTTGCAGGCCTTTTGTCCTACAGGACCAGGGCATCTTCCATAACCAAACGGAGAAAGACATTCAAAGGACAAACAAACACGCTGGTGGAAAACTAAAGATTTAAACCCAATTGTACATCTGATCCGTTTCATTTTTTCTGTTGCACAAACTAATACATTATGCATAGCTAAATATTAAATGAACTCAGGTTTTTAAGGCGGTCTCTCTCTTCCCCATCTTTCATTCAATCCGTACTCAACGCTACTTGTATTAAATTGTGGAAAGCTTCTACCGAACTGCTTTCTAATTTCTCACCACTTAACTTCTAGCTCAGTTTGACAGGGGATAGGGGGAAATCATTTCTCACTCAAGAATCAACTTATTCCCCTACCCCCCCAAAAAAAACCCCTTGACTAAGGCAATTATGTCAAGTATAAAATATTTACCATTGCAATGTAGCTGTAACTTAGAACAATCTCTCGAATTTTCCTCATCTCTTCTTCCAGATTGTTCGCCCATACTTCACAGATAACCTGGCTGTTCTCTGCAAGGGCTGCTGGCATCTTGCAGGGACCAGAGTAAAGACAGCTGGTGTTGAATTCAGATGACAGCGTAGAATTGCAAGCTGTGTGATCTTATCAGTGCGCTGCATTAAACAGATAAATAAAATAATGCTTTAGACGAAGAAAGATCTACATACGAGAATGAATGCTCTGCTGGAGTCAGTCACACTTCCCTTTTTCAGCTTCAAGTAGCCCATTTAAAGTTTACACCAAGTTTTTTCTTGCTTTTACCACTTCCTGTAAACATGCTGAACGAGAAGAAAACCTAGAGCATCTGTTCAGCTTACAAGAGTGGATGAACAATTAACAGTCCAGTTATTTATGAAAAGAGTCGTTCTCCCTGTCGTCTTCTCCTGGCATAAGCTCTGAAACTTCGGGCATAAGATCCTCACATTTAACATTCAGCTGCTGCGACAGCTTTTAAAAACAGTAACGGAACGCTTTACAGCCTGCATTTATGGACATGAGCTTCTGTGATGTAATTCGGGAAACACTGAGGTGAGGTATTTCAGCTCATACGAATGGCAGCCTCAGCAGCGCTACACCTAGGATAAACGGCCGGTTGTACCGTTTCCTGCAACCACACGGGCAAAACGGCCCCAGAGCTCTGGAAGCCGGGCTCAGGCGCCCAGCCCACG